ACAGGACGTGGATCCAGGAAAACATCTCTTTTCTTTAAAATGTCATAACCTTGTTGTCTGTACTCCGCTATATATATAATAACTATATCGAAATTCATAATTTTTTATGATCTTCACTTTTTATATGATATTCATATGACACCAATATTACATACATAAAGTTCAAATACACACACACACACATATGGATGAGATTGGATACAAAGTATGTTTCACATACAAAATACAAATTCATCTCAGTCATCCAAAATTACAAAATCATAAAAAATTATGATTGGTGAGGGAGGTTTTCCCATGAATACACGGTCATCTCACTCATATGAATGGCTAGGATTAATTTGCATTTTGTAAATTAGGATGACTTTGTATTTGATCCTAAGTCTGTAGTGTGTGTGTGTGCGCGCGTGCGTGGGGGCGTGTGCGTGCGTGCGAGCGCGCGCGTGTGTGTGAAGTTTCAACTGCTACAGGTTTTCAGACTTAAAATTTTTCTTAACTAGATCCAAGTGCTAAAATTAAGATCTCGTGATTTTTTTTAAATCTTTCATTTACTTTTTTCCAAAACAAGTGATCTGAAGTAACCACAAAAAAATAAACTCCAAATTTATTTATTTTTACATTGGAATGTTTGACTTTTAAATCATAATATTCGCAAAAACATGAAAAAAATGATGTATAATAAAAGCAAGACTTTAATTTAGAAAGTTGCTAAGTGAATATTGATGATACTGGATTTGAGTGAAAAAAATGAAATGGACAAAATGAATACTAAATTTCCATACAAATTGATGAGGAATTCAATTAGCAACGTTAACAATTAACAAGTGGTGATGGTAACGGGGTGAATCGGGAACGGTTTTACATATAACCGTACTCGCCCCGTTGGGCAATTCCCTTGCCTCGTAACCGCCCCATTACCCAATGGGTAATTTTTACTCAGCTCAAATCATAACCGTCCAACGGGTAACGGGTATAACCGCGGGTAACCGCGGGTAATCGCTTTATTAAATGAGTTATTGATTTTTTAATATAAAAATAATATTTTAAAAGACGAATAATGGCATCACCTAGACAACTCTACATTCATACGCCACTTTAAAGTTTTGAATATCTACAAAACGAGAAAGAATTGAAGGCATATTAAATTAATTCAAACCTAAAAATACTTAATATGAAAAATAATTAATCACGTTAAAATCTGATAATAATTAAACAAGACTATTAAGATCGATCTATTATGGATTTTCATTAATACACTATAGTTAGTAAATCTATTATCCATATATACACAATGAGAATAGAAAAATCTCATCTTTTATTAGTTCCGACATAAATAATAAATAAAAATGTAATAAAAATATTGCCAAAAATAAACGGTGCGGATACGGGGCGGGTAATGAGACGGGCATGTATAAAACCATAACCGCTCCGTTACCCATAAAAACAAAACGGGTATTCCTCGCCTCGTACCTGTTAAACGGTCAACGCGATTTTCCCCATTTGATCGGGACGGTTCAGTGTGGGTATCTATCAGGTCGGTCACAATTGTCATCCCTAACCCAAATTCAGCACTCCAAGTTCCAATTTAGATTATTTTGTCCTATTAATTACAGAGCATCATATTATTGTAATCATCATTTCATTATCATTAATATTGTTATCCATCCAAATAAATACTCTAAAATGGACATCTACATTTCTAAGATTTTTATTTTCTTTCAATTACCCGAAAATTGTATTTTTTAAATGTTGTTTATTTAGTCGTTTTCATATTCATTTTCAAGTATGATTCCGTGCATGGGAAGTAATTCTTTGTGGTTGCACTCATGTCCATTCTTGAAGCATTATTTTCTCTATGATGAATAAAATATAGGCAAGCTCTCCCGTGCACTTGCATTATAGGATGTTTTGGTACATCCGACAGATGGCATAATATTATTTGAAAATACTCCACGTCAGCTATTTAAAAAAAAAAATCAGAATTACCGAAGTGATCCCTGGACTTTGCCATACTTGTTACCGGAGGTCTCCAGTGCCTTTACTTTGTACACTGCTTTGCTCTTCATACTCCTAATTTTCCTTCGACTTCCTCAAATACTTTATTTTGTAATCTTCATATTCACCTTAACTGAATTTCATAGATTAATGGTCTATTAAGTTCTGCGATTGCAGTCTAAATGAAAAACTTTTTGAAAACGTAATTTAATCTGTATGTTCCTTTGCAGTGTAAAGAAACAAAAATCTGAAATCCTCCATGTCATACACAATTTCCTACCCTGTATTAAATAAGCTCCGATAGATCCCTACTTTGATATGACGTTATTAAGTTGCTAAATTATACAGAGTGTAATGCGGCCTAAAGAATTAGATCTGGTGTTCGTTCTTAATATGGATTTCTCAACAACTAAAAAAACCTTTAGAAAAAGTCGCAAATGGGAGGAAGAATCTGAGTCGTTGATGAATTGGATAACACAAAAGGAAGAAGATGATTAACCAGACTCCTAAATCAGAAAAATCAATAAATAATAAAAAATGATTGAAGAAGACTCTTAAAATTGCGTTTGTGTAGCCCCGTTTTCTTGTTAAATCAAATTGAAAGACCGGAAGGAAGCTCGCACGGTGGCCGGATAAAGCTTAATTAGATCGGATCATTTTCTTGTTCGAGGGATGATTACGGACTTTCCATGGTTTCTTCTCCGTTAGTGTTATTATCCTAAGGGACTAGTATGCAATTTTAGAAGTATTATCCGATGATTTCTTACTTGGAATAGATAGCCAATATATTGGTGCCTGGTGGCAAATGCACCAAAACAGTCACGCGAATGCACGGTAAAATTTTCCTAAAATATAATGCTCAATTATTCCTTATAGCATTTCGTTTTTGTCTCCGCGAATGACGGCTTCAAACTGATTGATAAAACATAAAGATGACATTAACCTCCACCTTAATTAAGTTGTTAATAACAAGTTAACTAACTGTGCCCTTTTAGGTGGTCTAATTTAAGGTATGATTGCGTTTTGTTTGGACCTGTAAAAATTCATAACTTCAAAGATATCCTGTAAACCTATTCAAGACATCAATGTTAACTCTTTTACATGATTTTACTAAATTTCGTTTTTAAATATCCCGAAATATTTAGCGCTTTTCTTCGAACAATATTAGAATTAGATATTACTCCAAATAGGAATATAACTACGGCAAAAAAAAAATAACACTTCTTATGCTTTTTTCCAAAATATTACTCCTATTTGGAAGCATAGCTATTTTTTCATTTCATTCTTATCCCTCCTTTAAATATGAGTAAAAGATAGTCAAAAGTCATAATTAAATGTTTTAGTTCATAATAAATTCATAAAAATTTAAAATTCATAGAAAAATTAAAAAAAATTGTAAATTAAATATTTAAAAAAATTAATAAAATAGTAAAACTCAATAAAATAAATTTAGAAAATATGAATGTCTTTCACACCGGTCAGAGATGGTGGTGCAGGGAGACAGTACATGTGGTGGGAAAGGACTTCATACTTTTTAAATTTATTTTATGGATCTTTTTTAAGGGCATTCAATTTATTTTTTGCATTTTCAATTTTTTAAATTTTTTTACTTTTGTAATTTTTTTTAAAAATTTGATTCCTTTCCCATCGCCTGTACTGTCTCCCTGCACCACCACCTCTAACCGGCGTAAATAATTAAATATCTACCGTAGTACCGTGCAATAGAAGTGCAATTCGCATTAAAAAACTGGCTTAATTATTACTACCTCCGTTTCTATTTCTTTGACATAGTTTAACTTGTCAAGATTTAAGGGAAAAAGTTATTGAGGAGTAAATTTTACTGTAGAGTATACTGTTTGGCACTATTTGAACACTGTTTGGCACTGTTTGAACACTGTTTGGCACCGTTTAAACACTGTTTGACACTATTTTGCACTGTTTTGATAAAGATTTGTTTACCAAATAAAGAAATAAGAAAGTGTGTCATTCATTTTGAAACATCCAAAAAACGAAAGTGTGTCAAACAAATAGAAAAGGAGGGAGTATGTTATACGGAGTAATATAATAGTTTTCCCTCTAAGATGCCTATTAAGACGTTTCTTTAGCCAATTTTTAAAAATTGATTTTGAAATATGTGAATGTTTATAACATACTACTATAATACTCCCTCTATATTTAATGTTCACTACACTAGATTTGGGCACAATATTTTAGGATATAGTAGTAGAGGTAGTGAATAGTGTAGAAAAAGTAGGAGAGAATGTGTACATGTATGAAAGAGAAGATAATAAATAAATAAAGTAAGCGTAGTTGAGTATTTTATAAAGGATAAACTTACCAAAAATAGAAATGTAGGAAACTTTTAAATACATCCCAAAAAGAAAAGTGTAGGGAACTTTTAAATACGGAGGGAGTATAACACATTAATAATATTAAATTGATTATTTTGATCAACTCAAACTGTTTATTAAGTACACAAAATAAACAACCTCATATATAAATATCACTTTATCAAGACCAACATCTTAATCCATACATCCATACATGACTTAATAGGGGGAAAAAATTAAACAACCCATTAGTCGTTATTTCTATGTATCAAAGATATTAGGGAAAACTATCAAATAGGTCTTCGAACTTTTATAAAAAAAAGTCAATTAAATCCTTCTATAGGAGACTCTGTCCGGCCGTCGCGATTTGGGGCGGTTCCCGGTGGAATTTTTAGATGAAATTTTTTGAGCATCTTATTCATCAAGTCTAGTTTACTCATACCAAATTTCAGCTAAAAATCCAATCGGGAACACATTCAAATTAATTCTTGAAGATAACTGCGCATTTTTTGCGTTTTCGAATTCATTTGAATGTGTTCCTAATGGAATTTTTAGCTGAAATTTGGTATGAGTAAACTACACTAGATGAATAAGATGCTCAAAAAAATTCATCAAAAAATTCCACCAGGAACCGCCCCAAATCGCGACGGCCGGACAGAGTCTCCTATAGAAGGACGTAATCGACTTTTTTATGAAAGTTTGAGTACCTATTTGACAGTTTTCCCATGATATTACTCAATCTACTTCATTCAATAATTGGAAACGCTAGATGAGAAATTGGGTTCGTACAACTAATTCAGGTCGCATTTACACATTTTACAAACGGAATGATACATACATAGTTTATGAGCATTTCAGGAGGGGACATTGAAATGGAAGAGCCATGAAATGACGAAGGCAAAGACCATGCAAGCTAGCAAGAAGTTGAGGAAACGATGACCTTGCCAGAAGCGACGAGGAGTCTCTACGCGGGTTGCAGCGGCTGCCCTAGCTATTGCTGCCCGAACAGCAATATCCGACTCACTCCACAAATCAATTGGCTCCATCACATTCGTGTAGACGACATTTGAGGCTATTGATCCACAAATCTCACAAGTCCTAACATGTAATTCATAATAATAGCATTTATAGAGAAAATGCATAAATAAATCAATGATTAGCAATTCTACATGACAATTTGAGGAAAAACTAATTTGACAACAATGCAATAAATATAACTGATACTCATCCTCCCCATTAGTTAATCCGAAAAACTGGTTGAATTACATTGAAGAGTAATTACTAAATAAACAATAGCGGGATGGGCTAAATGAGACGAATGGAAAATATTGTTGGAAAATGTGTTAATAAATTGCATTAAATGGTCATTTTGGGGCAATATTTTGAGTGGGTCCACTTCCAATTTGGGTCGGGTCAAAGTGGTTTCAAATTTTCCTTGTTAAGGGCTACAATTCGATATGTGGTACACTCAAAAAAGATGGGTTTCTAGTGTGGTTTTTTTCCCACACAGGAAAACCCAATGGACTTTGAACCCCTTATAAAGGGAAGCCTATTCCAAGGAGTCAAGATTCTTATGTGGAAAGGCTCTCTTTGCGCGTATGGGGGGTGCGAATCAAATCTCGAAACCGGAGAACAAAAAACGAGACTTGCGTGCGCGAGCGACCTGTAGGTTTTGGATCGTATTATTCCTTCTGATGATGATGCCTCAAATATTATTCCCCATAAATATTTATTGTTCAACTCATTCCCGAAGCCGATGCCAAAGCTTTGTGGCATCATCTTGATGCTATCGAGTTCCAATGGATTTATGGGACGATTCCCCATGATCTCCTTCATACGATTATTGAACAAGATACTACCGCTCAACAGGCCTGGGACCGGCTCGCTGATATTTTTCAAGATAATCGCAACCCTAGTGTGGTTGATCTGGAAAATCAGTTCTCCAATACCCGCTTGGAAAACTTTCCCAATGTTGTCGCCTACTGCAAGGCTGTCAAAATTCTCTATAACCAACTTGCTAGCATTGGTTATCTAGTCTCCAATCATCACTTCATTCTCTGATTGGTGAATCGTCTTCCAAAGCAATAAGATACAGTGGCATCCATCATCCAGCAATGTGACCTGTTACCCTTTTACAAAGCTCGCTCCAAGGTCACATTTGTAGAAACTCGCAAAGCTTTACAATTCGGCTTTTCCGACACTGCCTTAAGTCACCATGGACCCCCATCACTTGGTTTCTCTCTTTCCAATCGCTCCTCCCGTGGTCGTGGTCGGGCGGTCGACACCCAAGGTGGATATGTCCTAGCCATCCCGTCTGGCTCATTTCCATGGCCCATACCACCCAGACATACTAAGCCCTAGCCCCTTGGGCAGCTCATCCTTGCCATACTTATTCAGCTGGGATACTTGGTCCTCATTCTCTACAAGCCCATGTTGTCATTAGTAGCCAACCTTACAGAGCTTGGTTCGGTGATGAACACCATGTTCCTTACCCCTACCGGACGATACTTGGTACATGGATTCGGGAGCCACTTCACACATGATGTCCCAAAAAGATATTTTGTTGTCCTATTTTAATAATAGCTCCCAACATCGTATCGTTGTTGGAAAAGGTAACTCCATTTCCGTTTTGGGTCATGATCAAACCACTTTGTCAACTCCTCTCAACCGTTATTTTTATCTCATGTCTTACATTCTCTCATGTTGTACAAAAATTTACTTTTTGTTTGTCGCCTCACCACTCACAATAATATTTGTATTGAATTTGACCCGATTGGTTTTTCTGTGAAGGAACTCCGCATGGGGACACTACTCATGCGATGTGATAGTTCGGGCGACCTATACCATGTCATGTCCAACACCCACTATTCATAATCTCTTAATCCATCCAGTTTTCTGGCAGTCTCCAACACTATATGGCACAACCGTCTTGGGCATTCAGGTGATCCGACTTTTAGTAGACTTATAACAAATAATGTCATTAACTGTAATACAATTGTTAATCATCTTGTAGCTCTTGTTAATCGGCCAAGTATGTTAAACTCCATATTCTTCACTCTTTGTCCACTACCACTTCTCCATTTGATATAATATGTAATGACTTATGGACTTCGCTCACATTAAGTACTATGGGCCACCACTACTGTGTAATTTTTTTGGATGATTTCTCACGTTTTCTATGGATTTATCCTATTCATATTAAATTTGAGGTCTTCTCTTTATTTGTTGAGTTTCATACATACATTAAAACTTGATTCAACCGACGCGAATTAGATAACCAATCTTTCTTTAAGTTTGGTATTAAAAATGGTTTAAATTTCCTCTTGATACACATCATGTAATAGTAGCCTTGGTGACAGGACAAAGAAGCTCAAGGGAGTTTAACATGCTTGCCCGTTTGACAAGAGGTACCAAATGAGCTAACAATTTTATTACACTGAATGACATTTTTTGTTATAAGTATACTAAAATTGGATCGCTTGGATGTGAAAGATAATTGTACCATATAGTGTTGAAGACTGCCAAAAAACTGGATGAACCAGGAGATGAATAGTGGACATTGCACGTGATAGGGTACAAGTCACCCAAACTATCACGTTGAATAAATGTTGCCCCCGTGAAGAGTTTCTTCACTGAATAACCAAACGGGTCAAATTCAATAGAAACATTATTATTGTCAGTGGTGAGACGATGACAGACAAGTAAATTTTTAACAATGTGAGGAGCATGTATGAAATAAATGCAAGAGTGAGTGAGGATGTGATGTTGAGACCTATAATTAAAATAAGACATAAGAATACCTTTGTCGAACGTCATGTGAGACGTGGCTCCCGAATCCATGTACGGAGTATTGTCCAGCAAGGTAAGGGACATGGTGCTCATGGCTGAACCAATGCAAAACAGTGCCAAAGTCTGATAGCTATTATGGTTTATCAGGTTTTGAAGAAGAAAAATTAGTTCGAAGCTACGGGTCTTTTTACCAAAGAAAATTGTTGAAAAACTGGAGAAAAGAAAACAGAGAAATGTGTTTACCAAATCGTTTTCCAAAACTAAAAAAATGAGATGTCTCAGTTTTTTTTAATGAATTGGAGAAGTGAATTTTACTAGTTTTTCTAAATTTGGAAAACGCAGATGCTGCAGTACCGTTGCAATGAATTTGCATACTTAAGCCTAGTGATGGATACGGTCCCGCTCCAGCAATCCTTGTCAGACTGGTCGACGATTGAGCAATCCCGGTCCGGTCCGGTCGACGACCCGACGGTCCTAGTCCGGTCAGATCGACGACCCTGTAGTCCTTGTCTGGTCATGTCGACGACTTGGCAGCTCCTATCTGATCGATGACCGGACCGGACGATCCCGGTCTGGTCCGATCGATGACTTGACGATCCCGGTCCACGACCCGAAGGTCCTTGTTCGGTCCGATCGATGACCCGACAGTCCCTGTTCGGTCCGATCCACGACCACACGGTACCTATTCGTTCCGGTCGACGGCCGGGCAATCCCAGTCAGATATGGTCTGGTCAATGACAAGGCAGCCCCCGTCCGGGTTTTTCAACTACTCGGCGGTCTCCATCCTGCCCTGTCAACCGCCCAGCAATCACGTCTTATCTGATCAACGACCTGTTGGTCCCTATCTTGTTTGGCCAATGACCCGACGGTATGTGTTAGGTCTGATCGACAATCAGGCGGTCCCAGGCCAGTCCCATCAATGACCAGACGGTCTTTGTCTAGGCCGGTCAATGACCTGGTGGTTCAGTCTCGGTTTTCTGAAATCATTTTTAAAGTGAAGAGTTTTAAAAGAGTCGTTGAATTGTCAACCAATAGGTTAATGAAAAAAGAATTCGTCAAACTAACCATTGAGATCGATCAGGACCAACCAGTTTTGATCCCGACTTTCCTATACGAGGGACGTGGTACCTTACTTGGGTTGTACTAGGTTCGGCTCTGGACTGGTATCGGACTTTCGATTTTCTGGTCGGTCACAAAACCAGGTGAAAATATTTGATGAACATGTTTTCAGATTTGAAAATGGAAAACTAAAAAAAAAAAATAGAGAATTGGAGATAGAAAAACAGGAAATAGAAAATAGAAAATTTGAGAACGAAAAAAGGAAATAGAAAACTGGAAAATTGGAAAAAATCTCTAGCTGATTTTTATTTTTGTAAAGAAATGTCCCGTTTACCTTCTATTTTTGTATTTCTTTATTAAAAAAGTATACACAATATACTTTTAGCTAATTACACATGTAATTACTCATTCGACTCAAGTAAATTATGATCCAGGAGTCTCCTGGATCATAATTTACTTGAGTCGAATGAGTAATTACATGTGTAATTAGCAGGAGTGGAGTTAGGACACTAGACTTGTATAAATAATATTTTTTGGGAAAAATTTCTCTCGAATTGTTTTATCATAAAAATTAAATCATTTTTTTAAATTTTAGGTGATTCATGTCCTAGATTGACCTCTTAGATCCGTCCATGAAATTACCAAATACTTTTTGTTCAATCATTTCAGCTCATTGACATGTGAGCTGATTAAGCTTAGTCAACATCAGAGAGCCCAAATTAAATTTGTTTTGGAGAATTAAACGAGTAGAATTAATTTTTCATCACATTTCACATCATTAACTGATTGTTTTCCCTTATTAAAGCTTCCACTGACCAATCCTTTTCTTTTGGAGTTTTGGCAGTATCAAATCCTTTTCACATGAACTAAAAAGAACTAGCTTTTGAGAATGATGAAAATAGATACTTCCCTCATCCCCTATAATTGTGTCGTTTTACTTTTTTTTTTGATATCCTCCTATTATTGTCATATATCATATTTGGTAATATTTGTGTGTCTCTAATTCATTCTTAATTTATTCTCACTTTATCATCTCATTATCAACCACATTTTACTTTTCTTTAAAAGCACGTCATTCCTTTCTGTCCCAATAATCAGCCATTAATCAGCCATCTTTTAGTTATGAGCCGGTCCCCATGACCCCCTGATCCATCTCATCACCCAGCTATTTTTTTTTTTCTGAAAGACCTAACTTTAATACGGAGTACGTAATATTATTTCAAATAAAGAGTCCATAATTTCAATCAAACTTATTTTTATTATTATAAGGAGTATAATTGAACCTACAAAATTAAAATTAGGGGGTTTGATTAATAAAAAAAATACTACTACTTATTAAAGATCTATGTCAAAAAATAGTTATCAAACCATGATCATAATTCTTCTATCTTTAAATCTTACGCTTGTTTCGAGATAGGATAAGGTATAATCAATAATGGATAATTTGTACTCATTCCGTCCCTAATTTTTCTTCTTAATTGGGTATTGTGGTATATATCATTTTTCTTCATTCCGTCCCTATATAATTTGTATAATCAACTTTCAACGTCCGTCTCAATAATGGATATATTCCGTCCCTAATTTTTCTTCTAGAAAAGAGAGATGTGGGTCGGAAATGCCGTGAATCACAAACTTTTTTACTACAAAGGACAAATTAAAATTTTATGGGAAAGTTCCCGAAATAAGGCTAAAACAGTTTGAAAATTCCAAAATATGATTGTCATGTTTTTTATTAGTAATTACTGCCAAGTTTGGAAAATACTGTTATGTTTGAAGTCTGATACTGCCAAAACATGGCAGTAATTAGTACTACTTTGAGAATAAAAACATGACAGACTTATTTTGGAATTTTCGAACATTTTTAGTCCTATTTCGGGTAATATATCATTTGATTGAGACGGACGTTGAAAGTTGTTTTTGTATACCAATCATGATTTGAATCAATCATGATGGAAATCAGTTCTAGTGTATGAAAAAAATGATACAAAAATTGATTTTACCCTACAAGGCAAAACACCTGAAATTTCCAAACAGGGAAAAATGAAATTGAAGGTTACCAAAACAAGAACATCTAACCAAGAAAATCATAAACAAACAATCATTGTATTATATATATGTATGAGATGAATTACCTGTTTCCCTTGATCTTGAACCAAGCCTCTGCACAGTGCTTATGGGCAGCAGCCAAATCATTCTTACAGGAACAGCCCAGTTCAAATATCACCCCTGATTCTTGACTCTCCAAATCTATGCTCAAATGGCAGATTCTGCAATCCTTCTTAGAATGCAATTTTGCTTCCTCTTTCGACGGAGCTTCCAGATCCACCTCCACAAAGCATTCCGACGACACAGATGAAATCCTCCTCTGCTGCTGGAGCTTCTCGGCGTCTAATGTGGATGAACTGCTACCACAGCCACCGTGACCGCCGCCGCTCACGGCGCTGGAATGGCAGCCGCAGCCGTTTCTGCAACTCCCAGCTTCTGAATCAACATCGGGCCGGTGTAAAGACTGCATTTTTAGAGACCAAGATTGGGATCAGCAGAAAAGTGCAGATTTTTTCTTCTCGGGAATCATATAATTAAATCCATCTGGCTGCTCTCACTCTCTCTCTCTCGCGGAATAATATAGGAGGAGAGTAACAGAGGAGCTTACGTTGCAGGAAGATTTTGTCAATTCGTTTCGAAACAGCAGCTGAAAATCTCAGATTCTTTGGCAGATATATACGGAGCATTTAGATAAAGTTTTGACTATAGTTGAATACGATGTGGCACTATTTAATCTTTAATATTAATACATAATAAATGCCTTTAAACAGGAGGGTTTTTGTTTTTGAAGAGATAGAGCCATAGAGGAGGGTTACAATTAGAAATAATTACATAATTATTATGATTAGAATAAAAGTTATTTATAAAAATAATTTTTTTTACAGATTATAGTAGTAATTTAGTCATAGTTTATGTTAAAATCTTTTATTATAGTGGTCGTGGCACTATACTATATTGCTGCGTAACTAATACTCCGTAACACATTTTTTAAAAATGTTTTATTTCATTAATGTATTTAGAGAAATGTCTAATAATTATAAATAATGAGGTATACATGACAAAAATAAAGATGATAAATAAAAAATTGAGTTTCTCGTATAAACCGTGAAAATTGATTATATTAATAATTTTAGTGATTATGATTATATTCAATTTCACATTGTAGGGACAATAAAGTACTTGTATTACTTTTGGTATGCCCTTCCGAATTCATTTCAATTATATTATAAGAAAAGTAGAAAACCCATCTATACAACCTTTTTTTCAGGGCCCACCTATACAATCATATTATACTTTATATTTTGCATATTCAATTTTAACAACTTTATAATATATTTGTGTTTATCCTTTTATACCTTTTGTCTTTCTCTACGAGACTACGACACTAATCACTATCAGTCTATCACATATTTCTAGTTCATGCTAACATGGTGGCTCATGAAAGAAAACCAATCTTATAGTGCTAACACTAATTTGTATGACATGTTACATTTATATTTTTGTTCTGGGGATGTGTGAGACGATTTATATTTTTTAACACAATAAACTTTTGCCTGAATTTAAATTTATTATAAATAAATACGAAGAATAAATAATAAATTTTGTATGGGAAGAACATCATCAATAATAATAGTAACATTAGTAATAGCAATAATAACGATGATGATGAACAATAATAACGACGATGATGATGAGCACTCCGAATAATATTGAAATGGGGACTAATTACCCGCACCGCCGCCAGGGGCGGATCTAGTAAGCCCAAAGTGGGGGCAGCTGCCCCCAATAAAGTTCCATTAATCCTTGTAATTTGTTAATAAATTTTAGAAGCTCAATTATTTGCCCCCAATACAAAAAATGGATTGCCCCCTATAACTCAAAGCCTTCTCCCGTAAATGAAAAAACTGACTTGGAGTTCGAGTCACAAGATTCCAAGCGAGCAGATAAGCAGTATGGTAAAGACAGTGGCTCTGTAAGACTCCAACTCTCTATGTTAGAATTAATAAATTACTTAAATGTTAGACTTGAAGTTGTGCAGTATTTGTTGCCTAGTTTGGTTGTTTAATCCTCTACATGTAATCATTGTATTGTTTACTTTTTTAATGTCATCCATTAATTTTTAATTTTTATATAAATGTTAAATAAGTTTATTAAACTTATTATAATACTATATATTAATTTATTATGAGATAATTTATTTTCATCAATTAGGTAATTTTTTTAGAAGGATCAATTAGATTTATTTTAATTGATGAGTTACTGGTATAGTTATACAACTATTACTCTATTAGTGTAATGCTTTACACTATTAATTAGAAAATAGAAAATGACATTTAATAAGTTTGAAATCCTTAATGCAAATAATATGTTACTTTAGGTAATTAAATAAAGTCTATTAATGTATTCAAAAGTCTATTAATATGTTACTCTCTATGTCATAAAATTCTTCTCACTTATCATTTAGGGATGTCACTAAAAATTCTTCTAATTTCTATTTTTGGAAAATTTTGTGTGGTTAAAATTCACATTTACTTTTTTCTTACTAAACCACAATAATACATTTCCACTTTATTCTCATTTTCTTAAATTTTGATTCAAGGCAAACCGGGAAAAAATTTATAGGATGACGGGAGTATGTATTTAATTTCACTACTTTTCAGACTCAATGGTGAGGTATTGGACATTCATTTCTTCACCAATACTGAATACTCTATAGTCAAAATTTTATTGTTTCAAATAGTGCTTCTCATTGTTTTCCCCGAAATAGTGAAGATCAATTTGTGTAACAGAATTGATGATAAGTTTTTGAGTTATTGTCTAATTTGTTTTATTGTAAATGATGTGTTTGAAATTATTATAATGAAATTCTAAAAGATGAAAACTCAGTGCGAACAATTGTACTATGATGTATTGTATTAAAACTTTTCTTATTATACTATTACATTGATACTTTATTAATTATTTTCAAAGGCATTTTTTATTTACCCCTGCCTGGCCGCCCCCAATAGATTTTGATCCTGGATCCGCCACTGACCGCCGCTGTGTAGCACTGATACGGGTACGCGGAAACGCGGAAACGCGGAAACGTGGAAACGGGTACGGGGATACGATTATACGACAAAACCAAAAAAGGTAGGATACGGATACCGGGCCATATTTATAAATAGTAAAAGTTATGGGGTGTATTTGTAAATATTAACAATTATAGGGGTATGTATTTATAAATAGTAAAAATACAATTTTTGTTTTGAAAAAATATACATATATTATCCTCCGACGTCCCCCCATTCATGGCATTGAAGCATTTTACATTTTCAAAATACTTATATTTAAATTCATATTTTATCTCATATACACTAGTGCATCTCGAAATATAAATATAGTCAATAAGTCATTAATTTAAAATGAAAATAAGTCAAACAACTACAGTTTCGAAATTAAAAGTGCAAGTGCTCAAAATTCTAGAATAATGAAGATAGAAAACAATATTTTAAAAGTTCGCATATATATTTCCGTTGGAGCTATTAATTTCCATGGATAATTAGAATTAGGGATAGGAGGATGAGAGAATTAGGAATAAGCCTATTAGTTGTGTACCACATAAAAGCAAGGTAAAAATTATTTCTAGCTTTTCATTTTTAAGAATTCTATTATGTGAATTTTGAGTGTTTTTTAAAGTTTTTTTTAAAGACTTTTTTTTAAAAAAGTTATACGTGTATCCGTCAGGATACGAGTATCCGAAATTTTAAAATAAATACCAAAAAAAATGGAAACTTTTAAAAATTACAGATACGGTCCGGGAATGTACGGTACGGGTATCCTAGAGTATCGGATACGGTACCCTAGCTAGTGAAGTATCTGTGCTTCATAGCGGCCGCACGGGTAGCTCAGTTATTAGTTGGTGAGAAAGTTGGAACATTGACCAAGGATCGAAACCCGCAGCGACCGTGTGGAGGTTACAACTCTTGCGTGATGCGCTGGACCGTTGGTGCACACGGGTACTAGGTCTATCATCATTGGGCGGACTGAGTCACCGTGACTTGATTCTCCCAGAAAATCTTGTCGGGTCGAGGCGTGGAGGGACCTTGGGGTTGGGGATTCAGCCTTTTGGAACATTGAAATGGGGACTAATTGATGAAGTGTCCCTTGAGAGGCCTATAGAGATGTCATCTACTCCTATCTTTAAGAAAGTGGGGACAAAGCCAATCTTGCTTTGAGATTAGTGAGAAACACCGCAAATGAGATCGATCTTGGGTTCTCTTGTTTCGTCTCCCAAGGCCCGAAGGAAGTGAGTCACCAATCACCCTCATCTTGAGTCAAGATGAGTAAGGTGCTGTTGTGTTCGTCTTATTCTTATTACTTATTGTTTATTCTTATTTTATTCAGATCAGATCAGATCAGAAAAATTCAGATCAGATCAGATCAGATCAGATCAGATCAGAAAGATTCAGATCAGATCAGATCAGAAAGATTCAGATCAGATCAGAAAGATTCAGATCAGATCAGAAAAGTTCAAACATGATTTATCACTTTTATTATTATATTAATTATTATTATTAATATTGTTATTACTATTATGATTAGGAAAAATTAAAAACAATAATCCCAACTATTGCTGGTCCGCTGAAAATAATCCCAACTATTGATTATTTTTGTATAATCCCAACTATATAGACTATCCGCCAATAATGGTCCATGACCATATATTACCTTTATAAAAAGTGAATTTTAAATAGAAATTAAGCGTAAAAATTAAAAGTTGAGATTATTTATAGGGATTACTTGTTATATCTCATCTCATCCACTTTAGAAACTACAAAAATTTATTCATAGGGACCATTATTGGCGGAAGGTCCCTAAAGTTGGGATTATTCTGTAATAATCAATAGTTGGGATTATTATGAGCGGACCGCCAATAGTTGGGATTATTACTATCAATTTTTCCTTATGATTATTATTATTATATAATTATTAATAATAATAATATGATAAAAAATATAAGATATTAATAATAGTTATAATATTTTAATATAATATTAGTAATATAAATGCAATTATTAAGAAGACTATTATTATTATTATTATTATTATTATTACAATATAATAATAATAATATAATTAATATTATTATAATATTATATTATAATTATATGTAATTATAATTATAATTATAATTATAATTATAATTCTTATAATTATAAGTATAATCAATTGTAATTATTATAATTATATCTATAATTAATTATAATTATAATTGTAATTAATTATAATTATAATTGTAATTAATTATAATTATAATAATTATAATTATAATTACAATCATAATTATAATTATGATTATAATTATAATTATAATATAATATTATAATAATATAATACTAATAATAATAATAATCATATTATTATATTATTGTAATAATAATATTAATATAATAATATCGTTATAATAATATTAATTGTATTTATATTACTATTATTCTATTATAATATTATATTTAATGTTGATATAATTATAATTATTATTAATTATAATTATAATAATTATAATTATACTTATATTTATATTATAATTATAATTTATGATTATAATTATTATTTTTATTATGATTATTATTATTATAATTATTATTACTATTGTAATTATTTTACGGAGTAATTATAATAATATTGATAACTATAGTTACAATTATAGAGATAAATATTGTAATTATGATTACAATTATAATTATAT